CTCCATTCACTATGGCTCACTACACAAATGCCTAGAATCTAGTGTTCCATTCACTATTACTCACTTTACCGTACTCACTTTACTAATGCCTAGAATCCATGCAATGGAACGTTACATAAATTCTGCAGCATGGTTAATATCACAACCAAATTATGTGGCTTCCAATCTTTTCCATAACTACCGGGTAAAACTGAATATTCTCAACTAATTTATTCAACTAATTTCTTCAACTAATGCAACATTATGCATGATCAGGGGGCCAAGTATGGTCATGACATCAGTGTCCAAACATAGTCAGTGCTGCTATAACCTAGAACGGACATCATTTTGTGGAATAAGGTAACTGCATAGATTCTAACTTGTAGGGGATAACTAGTAATTATTTTTTTCTGTAAAAACCAACCTCTTCTTGTTCTGAAAAGACACCGCTACGTTGACGGCCTGTTGCTTCCTCTTCTTCTTCACTGCTATCCTCCTCGCCTTCCTCATCGTCATCTTCATCATCGTCGTCGTCATCGTCATCATCCTCCGCTTCGTCATCATTTTCATCCTCATCTTCAACATGATCTTGCCCTTCTTTGTAATCTTCATCATCCTCATCCTCATCTAAGAATCATTTGGAAAGAGGAAAATATTCATTATCAGTGACATGTATGACCTCACAACTAATTAATCAAAGTTAAGCACTGCAAAACTCCCGTGTGAATACAGAATATATGCAATCACTGTTATTTTATAAAACAATATCTAGGAAAAATAAATTCCCAGTGACAATTCGTGAAGGAGCAATGGCATAGATTGGGATCATAAACCAGCAGAAGTTTACTGCCGATATATAGCAAATTTGTCCTGAAGTTTTGCTTACAAAGGCAGAAATGAAAGTAATACTGTTATGCAATTTTTGATCAAAATCTGCTCAGACATTTTTGTGATTTTGCTTATGCAAACATGTACACCAAACTCATCATCTCCATTGTGTACTTTGGAAACACAGGATGGCATATTGTGTTGTAACTTGCACTTACATATGTAATAACATCCTATAAGTAGGACCGTAGTTAAGCAATGGATTAAGCATGATCATCAATATCTAAATGTGAACCTCGGAATATTTTTAGTGGTTTGAATTATAAATACGAGCGATTTATCTGTTGAAATTCAACAACAAAATCATCATAAAGCAGAAACGAGCAGAGATTGGGGGGAAATAAGTACCTCATTTTGTTTTCAGCAGGAACAAAAAAATGTATGAATGTAAAATCTCAGTGGCTTCCAGTTTCCTCTTTAAAAGAATACATAAACTAAAGTGCAGTTTTGAGTGCAACAGCAGTTTGGGTTTTCAAAAAAAATAAAATGGGACCAAAAAATCGCATTGGGTGATTTTTCAGCAGTTTTTACGGTGTTATTTTATTCTTTTCTGATGCCTAAAAGTGTCGCCGTAGTCATTGACGCCTATTCAAGAGTATTGATGTTTATTGCGACTAGCGGTGAATGAGTTAGCTTCATTTCGACAATGAGTTGTTATCGCTGTAAACAATGTTAAATTATTCTTCAAATGCTCAGTTTATCTTTTGAAAACAACTAATTTTTCTACTTAAAAAAAGAAAATCATGCAGTTTTTCCATCAAAATCCAAGCCAAAAGATCCTACTACATCATCAGCAAGTCTCTTCCAGGTTGCGTTCAATAACATTAACATATTTAAATGAGCTATGGTAATTTGAACATGTTGGCATTATCCATCATTTTGAATGGTTAATTAGCAATTTGACCTCTCAGGTCAAAGAACACTGTTTGGAGGTCAATAATATACTGAAAGCCGACAAGCAACCAGGCGAATGAATTTTTAGAGGAGTTGAAATTTTAAAATTTTTGTGGTAACCTAACTACCCATTTCTTTTTTTACGTACTTTACACTTTGAAAACAACTGATCCTGGGGACTATAGTGGCACTGATATACATGTTCTAGCATCACAGATAGTGTACCACTGAAACATGGTACAATGATAACACAATGCAAGCCCAAACAAAAGTTGGCAGAGCCATCTCGATGCTGGGAAAATAAGAGTATTTAAAGGTGTGTTTTGGAGCAATGGATTGGCAAACAGGCAGAAAAGCAATTTCAAAAACTTAGACTTTGTTTTCATGAAAACTTGAAGTATACATGAGGGTACGTATTATTATTTATTTAGGAAACTCAATTTTTTACTGAAGGAATTAAACTAAATTAAATAATCATGTTAGAAATTGACTACTGTTCAACTCTGGACGTTTAGTTGTACTTAGCGTATGTTACTATGACAATCAACCAATTCAAGAAAAACAGTTGACAATGACTAAATGCATGGTCACAGCCAAATCGCTGTTTAATTAAAATAAAAAAATCAAAGAAAACAGAGAACTCTAAGACAGAAAGAGAAACACAAGCGATGTATTCGAACAACATGCAATGATGCATTACGACAGCCAAGTTTGTTTCACCTCGATCAATGCAGCAATACCCACAATGCACTATTCTCATGGGTATGTGGAAGTTCATAGCCAAGCATACTGCAGTCAAGAACAAGGTAAGAAATTATGTGACAAGACAATCTCAATTTGCTGTCGATTTCCAGGTTCAGGTTCGGGTGCGTTTACAAGATCGATACGAACTACACTGCCGAGTGTAAACTCCACGGTCAGTCACCACAAACACCACGGTCAGTCACCACAAACACCACGGTCAGTCACACAAAGTCCCCCAAATTCAAAATGGATTTTTAAATGCACCGGGGAACAAGAGACGAACAATTGTGCATACTTAGATGACGACTCCACGCTATACGCAGCGTAAAAATGGCAATTCAAACTTTGCTTACAGATTTTCCCGGGCAGATTTACATAATAATACAGTTCGATAACACGGCCAGTCACATATAATCCATCAAAAGGAAACTGCAAGTCGTATAATGCCAAAACAGTACCATGATTTCACAACTTTCGAAATACGTTCGCTTTTATCGACGTGCACTGTACAACAGTTTAATGTCTTCCTGTTCGCAAGAACACAAAGCCTAAACTATCAGAAATTCGTAACACATAATTCGAGTGATGGAATAACAAAATTACTCATCATTTGTAAATTCAATCCATCGAAAAAATGTAAAAAACATTTTTATAAACAATTTTTATTACATAAATACACTTTAAAAAGAAACAAGATTCATAAACATAAATCTATTTGAATACATTCTCGCTACAAACTACACAATACGAGTTTCTTCACAGCACAAACTATTGGAATCATGCACACGTGTGAGTACTTCGGTGACACATTTTATAGCTACGCCCAAAATAGTCCATCATTTATTGCGCAACTGTGACCAAACTACATCATTCTGTTAACATCCACACATTTTTATAAAATCTCCATGCACTTTTTGACCTTTCCTAAGTAAAAAACACTACAATTTACTCCAGAAAACAATTTTTATTCGTACATTCCTACATTCTTGCATACTAATGAGGGGTTCAGACACATTCAAAGCTGAACAATTTTCTTGGACTGATAAAGCTGGTCAATCCTTTCCTAGCAACAATTTGTCACACGCAACGTAATATTACGTAATTGGTATAGTACAGGTGCGATGGTTCAAATACCAAAATGGCAACAGCAACATAAAGACTTCCCTGGCGGTGATGATAACATACGAACACGGAGCCAACAGATGAGGTTTCAACTGGTACTGGTATTATTATACTCTGCAAACATCAAGTACAATAACGCGGTAAAACTCCAAACCTCCAATAATTAGATATTTAAACTCCAACACAATTCAACGAGATCTCCGATCTGAACTCAGTGCTAAACAACTCCCCTATATACACCCCCACTGTCTATAAATAGACCATTACATCAGCATACATAATGAGTCTGGCACTTACTACAAATTTCTAGAATGTTCCATTACCTTCTATTGCCTCCTACAGTGTTCTATTACCTACTCAACCAGTTTCTAAAAAAAATCTAGAATATTCCATCCAGACACAGTATGGTTCTAGAACATTCTCAGTGACATGGAAGCGGTAAATAAGTGTATGCGACACAATTCATGACCCAAAATAAATTGAAAGAACAGAAAAATATACCAAACCATTACAATAAGATTTATTCAACAAGTCACAGTTTATATAATTATTGCCAATATCCATACATGTAGATAACAATACATTCATACATTCATCTCGCGTAACTGATGTATGCCCTCACATCACAATTCACATAGAGGGCGCTACATACTTACCAACATCGCCATTTTCAGCTGTTGATCCGCCTGGCTTAGCATCTTTCTCATTCTGTGTTTTACCTGCATTATTCTCCACAGTCTTATTTGAAATCTCTGGATGACTTTTACCATTGCATTTTTTTGGTGTGACACAGTCTGTTTCTGAAACCCCACTTTCAATGTCACCCTTTTCCTTGGAATCATTGTGTTCATTTTTTATTTCGTCTGCACTGTCAATAGTGTCTGATTTTTGACCATTTATTTTGGTGTCCCCAGTTCCTTCAAACTCATTGATAAGAGGATTTATTTTGCTTTTACTTTTCGAGATCATGGGTGAAAGGAGATCTTCCTGATTAACTTTTTTCCTGAGTGCTTTGGTTTTGGAATGTTCTTTGAGCTGTTGTCCATATTTGGCCAGAAGGTCTGACAGAGGTAGGGTTGCTTCTTCCGCTAACATAGCTGCTTCCTCGGAATCTATTGGGAAAGTTAGAATACAAAATGGTTTAGCAAAGAAATGCACACAGGATTATTGTATTAATCATGCCAATGTCAATCTAAGTTACAACTACTGGTTTCAGACATAAACCACAGTTATAGTTCAATGCTTAGACAACAGAATGCAAACATTTGGTGTTGTTATTATCCATGTACATGTTCCACTAATTTTTTGTGTTTTAGTACTAGAGATGTCATCATTTTTTGTGTTTTTGTGCAAGTGATGTCATCATTTTTTGTGTTTTTGTGCAAGTGATGTCATCATTTTTTGTGTTTATGTGCAAGAGATGTCATTTTGTGTTTTAGTTACTAGAGATGTCGTCATTTTTTGTGTTTTAGTGCAAGTGAGGTCATCATTTTTTTGTTTAAGTACTAGAGATATCATTTTTTTGTGTTTTTGTGCAAGTGATGTCATCATTTTTTGTGTTTTTGTGCAAGTGATGTCATCATTTTTTGTGTTTTTGTGCAAGTGATGTCAACATTTTTTGTGTTTATGTGCAAGAGATGTCGTTTTGTGTTTTAGTTACTAGACATGTCGTCATTTTTTTGTGTTTTAGTGCAAGTGATATCATTTGTCTTTCAACACAAAGCATGTCATTGTCTGTTTCAGTGAAAGTGATGTCAACATTTCATTTCGAATAATATTTATGCATTTCATTTCAGGTGATGTCATCATTATTAAGATTTCAGTGAGTGATGTCACATGTACATTTCATTACAGGTGGTGTCATCATTTTTGTTTTTTCGGAGTACGAGATGTAATTTTTTTGTGTTTCAGTGCAAATTAACAGAATGATGTAAATTTATATTTTGTTAATTTATACATTTGTGTAAGAATCACATTTAGTTATCTCACCTTTATCATCCTCATCAAGCGTTCCTGCGATTTGTTTCAGCTCTCGTATAACTTCATCCTTAGTTAACACGGCATCAAACTCCATGAAAGCATCTTCCAAAGCCTTGTGAAGGTCACCGTCTTTGTATGCTTTGCTGTTTTGTATGATTTCCGGCAAATGTTGTGCGCAATATATAGCTACTTCTGAACCTATACAGATAAAATTAAAAAAAATAGAGTAAATCTGCCGAATATAAAGTAAACAGATTTGTTATACTATATAAAATGTACAAGAAGAAATATCATGTTTTCTAGCACACGAACAATATACTAACAACAAAATGCTCATATTATACATTTTGTTAATTAGATTTTAAAATGTGGTAGTCTCGGTGACCAATAATTCTAAACAACGCAGTTGAACATTTGTAATTTTACAAAATGCTTGCTGGTGGTGTTTCTATGGTCATTTAATGATTCAGAATAGAAATAAATATATTATTTTGTATTTGGATATTTCAACAACAAAAAGATATTACGGTAGAAAGTGAAAATAATAGGGTTTTGAATTTCGTCATTTTTTTTTTTTTTTTTGCAACCAGAAGTTCACCACATAAAGTAAAATAGGGAAGTGTTTGTTTTCTGTTTCATAGGATGTTCTGTCAATCCCAATTTTAATGCATGTATTCAAAAGCAATATATAATAGATGTGGTATTGAGTAATCATACTACAAAACAACAGCATTGTTCTAAAACACCACCACCACCCCCCTCACCGAGAAGCTAAAAATTTGTCTGGCCTAAGCCTAACTGGTTATTAATATTTTTATTACCTCCGTGACCATCATAGACACCAAACATGGCAGTCTCTTCATCCAGTTCCAATATAGCATTGTGAGCATCCTGCATAAGTAAAATAGATTATTTGACATTCAATTGATACAATTTATTATTATTATTATTCAGAGGAAATACTATTTTGTATGGCTATAATTCTTTAATGAATTAATTACCATAATTTAATTTTAACAAGCAGCCTGTCGGCTGAGATAGCTCCGCTGTTAGCAATGCACATGGCAATTAAAGAACAGAAGATATCATTACAAAATGAACAAATCGGAGAGAGGTCTACCCAAGGTACAGATACACCAAGTATCAAAGCATTCAGGCTTGTAGTTTTCAAGAAGAAGTTGGAAAAGTAAAACATTGACACGGACGACAACGACTGACAATCACTCAAAGTCGACAGCGAAGCTAAAGAAGTTAGATCCCTAAATGCAGATACCTTAGTAAATAAACCATGATTATTACATCATACCAACAGATTCTAGACTTCTCAAATATACAATTTAAACTAATTTTTGCTGTCATGCATTCTTGTATGAGGGCTTGAACTCTTTAGCAAAGAAGTACTTGAAGTTCAATTGCACTCCAAAATGATGAGTTGCATGTTCTTGTCCTAATAAAATGCAACCTCTCATCAATGTATTAAAACACTAGTTTCCATGCTTTTGGTGCAGCCAAATTTATTTAATTTTTCATTGTAACTTTGTGGCAATGAAATCCTTTTAATTTTCCAGTACATGCTCTTAACAATAAGTGTGAATGAATTGCTACATGCGAGCAATACACGACCACAGTCAGCAGGAGTAATGGAATCTATGCATACATTTGCATAAAAGGCAGTTGATCTGTGACCGTCAACAACTGCCACGGAGATGACCGAGGTGCACCACCAGTTTGATTTCCTACTCTCCCCTTAGTTAGCTTTCAGCTGGCTTAAATCTAGCTTGGCATGCTTGTATTCAAATTATGCAATATATAGCAACGACTGTAAATACTCAAAGGAACAAGTTGAAATTACTGATTCACAATGAAATAGCAAGGTTTTATAAAAAGGCAAAGGAAGATAATAGCTAGCTTGGAAGGTAATTAAGTTCTGCTCAGACCATGTTGTAGTTGGGCATAAAGACATTTTGAAGTCTTTGTGAAGTTCAAGCCCTCTGACATGAATGTACATATTTACATTAGTCAATAAGTAATATTTTAGTTCTGTAAACTATTATTTCAACTACTATTTGGTAACTCTGGCATGTTTCAGGGTTGGTTTGTTTTTTTTACTAGAATTTGCATTTGGGTATGTTTTTTTTGGTATACATTTTTGTTGAGTGTATTTTTCACAAATATTTATTGAAATGCATGACATAGATAAGAGAAATGTTTATTTTACTGGTAACAAGTGTAGGAGTGCTAGTTAAACCAAGGTATACAGAATTATTTGGAATACACACATTGTGGCAATGTTTTCTGATGTTTTAAAATAAACTTAATTTGAAACCTAATTTTGCCACGTTTTTTTATTCCTTATGTTGAGTACTGTTTTCACATTTTTAAAGTATCCTTGCACGTTAATGTTATGAACTTTCACACATACACCCTAACACCTTAATTGTACATAGTTGTCATTTTCACAAATTGCAATCGTCTTAGTCGAGCCAATTTCAGAACTGACTGACTCCTCTCATATTAATCTACATATTCTTCTCTAGATTAATTTACAGGAAGAGGTTGCATTAATAGACTTTATTTTAAGTCCCCACAACACTCTTGATTTTACTACACCACAGTTCCCATATATCTTCGGTTTGGAAACGTATCAATCAGCTGGACTAGTGGGACAACGCCAGTGTTCTCCCCAGCATTCAATTTGTGTGCGGGGGCCGCCACGCTGCTTTCCCTGCCCGCCACTGTGGTCTCGAGCCGCCACGGTGATTAGTAAGACCGCCACAGTGCTTTTTTCATTGTTTATCCCATGAACTGTATTACAAAAATAAAGTACGAAATACGTAGCTATTAGGGATCTCACCACGCTGGTCGGCCCCGACTGGCACTCAAAATTAGCGACCACCACGCTTCAAACCAAGGACTATTGTCCGATTATTATAATTAAGTACCGACCGACAGGCATCCTGCCAGTTGTGGATTATAATTTGTAAATAATAGCGGCTTATAAACAATACAAGTCAATTTTGTAAAATTAGCACCTCTTTATTTGTACTCGACGATTGACGCAGTCTTTAGATTGAAGGCTAAAATTCTTTCAAAATCAATTCCACCCCAATATAAGCAAAGGCAAAGTGGAGTTCACGATCAGTTTACACTACTCAAGAAAAAAACAACTCGTTTATTGCGTGATTGGGTAAAATACATTTGAACTTTTATCATCGCGAATCGTGTAATAAATCTTTTACCTTTTAAAAACTGCTAATCACCTCTTTCAAAAACCATCATGCAGTTTTCATCTGAAATCTATACCAACACATCGTGCTACGACATCGCTTTACTTCCACAATGTCATTTTCATGATCACTACCATTCGGAAAACTTCTGATTCTACCGGCATTACCATGCAGCATTCTGATTGGTTAATGGCATTTTTGACCCATCGGGTCAAAGGACACATGCCGGTCAACTAACGTGTCACAATCATCATGGCGGTCTATGTTTTTTACCGAAGCGAACGAGTGATCACAAATAATTGCTCCCGATAAAACTAAGTCAAATTTTACGTGTATTTCATATAAAAAAAGGATTAACATTTTTTGCATGGCATGACTGAGTAAGAGGAATTATTGGTATAACCGGTGTATAACATCGCGAAGTGAGTTATGTCACGTCATAACTTTGATGATCGTTCGGAAGTTTTATTTGTTCGTTCATTACTGTAAATGTAAGCGTTGTAGAAACTGATGGTACGAATAATGAACAACAATTTTTTGAAGAAGAATGTTTTTGTAGTAAATAAGATCATGACAGTCGTGAACATTTCCTGGCTGAAACGTTTCATTTAACCTTTTACAATTTAGTTGATTGTTTTTAATAGTCTACAGCATTTGCATTTTGATTCGAGAATGTTTCATTTTTAAATTCAAACTCTTCTAAATAGTGAAATGTAACATTTTGACTCCAATAAAAAAAATATTTGCACTGTGATCGAGCTCATTAATATTACAAAAGTGCCCAAAAGAATAGTGTTTATAACACTGTATGAAGCAAATAAATATGTGCCACATTGTTTTTGAAAATACACGCCTGTGTGTAAATGGTCAATCTCTATTATTATGTAAATGATATGCAAATGATATGCAAATTATTCCTCTACAGTGGTTTAAATTTTGCATTTTCAGATACTAAAAGTGGCCATGAAATCAAAATGACAGGTTAATTGATTTGGCAGAATGATATTGTCTTTCATATTATTTAATAGACATAACTTTCTAATATTTGCGATAATATTGATATTATACTTCAAAGAATAAAGATTTTGTTTCTTTTACACTTTCCACAACATAGGCATAAGCATAAGTGAAGTACAAGTTTCTGCTCCAATCATACTTGAATGGCGTAATTCAGTCATACAGAAAATGTTTTGGTAGTTAGTTAAATAGATTACTAAATCGCCAAAATCCCCAAATATCCCCCCCGAGTATGACTTTAATATGGCTGACGACACCTATACAATGTACACGTGCACTGATACTAAAATCTGTAGGTTAATTATATGCAAGCCTATTTTGGGTCGCATAACGGGTACTTATTTGGAAGGTGTCAACAGTTTATTTACCTGCTACCCATTGTTTTGTTTCCAGGCCAGTGTTAGATAGACTATGATTACACATACATTGTAGTTACTGTGGAATACTTCATTTTCGCTGGAATTAATTTTCACTGAAAAGGCTTTTTGGGCGTTTGGTATGGAATTTATTTTCACTGATTTTTGACGAGTTTAATGTGAAATATTGGAAAAAAAGTATATTCGCTGGATTTTATTTTCACGTAATCATCCCTTCAGCGAAAATAGCAAAAATAAATTCCAAGGGTAAATAAAGTATTCTACAGTATGTCAGTATAAAGCTATATCTGATATGGTCACAAGAGAGCTGGTGGATCCCCCTATTCAAGATTTCAATGTATAATTAACCACAGTATTAAACATAGTTGAACTCTGGTGACCTTGCCCTTTGTTATATAATATAATTCCCTTTATCATAGTTTGATTCAATATAAATATGCATTGTCATAATTAATTTTGAATACAAACAAGTTTTGGGGTTGAAACAACAGTGGGGAATCAGTCTACCGAATGTCCTTAAAAGATGTAAATATCTTACAAAAACATTGGTGCCTTATTTGTTTAATTATTTTAAGGGACATAATTTCCAGCTTTATTCAAAGTAA